TTTTGGTTAGCAGACGCATATCTTGCCTACACCAAAAGTGACACGAGTTGTCAAAGACCAGTCAAGTCTTCTGTATCCATGCTGAGATTTGGTCAGACACCAGGCCGTCAGCACTGATAAGACTCCCAAGATAGATAGTAATCGATGGTCAGAAAACCTAAATGACGTGGCTCAAAACCATTTGCGATAGCGCAGGTGCATCTATTCTTTATGTTATCTCAAATTCTTATGTGTTCTTTTTGACTTTTTTGATGCTTATAATCGGATTCCACTGGGATATAACTCTCGAATTGTATTTTATATCCCTAATCTTTTTCATTGCCACTAACAGTACTACTACCTCTACTACTATGGGATTTGAATTGATGATTCTATATGTCTACTAATGTGGTATGGCAACTTAGACTGTTGCTCGTGCGTACGAATTCCAACGTTGTAGCTGAGTGACTGTAAACATATTGACTAAGATCCAGTAGCAATGAAATAGAAATTATTGAGAAGGAAAAGCACAGTACTCCTTCTCACTACTAGGTTGTATCGTTATTGAGGCGGAACTATGGAATTCTGCCTTTCACTGACTTCGTAAAACTGACTTATACCAACCGATAAGGACGAATAATACAATTAACTATTCACGCAGAACAATCTTAAAGTTAAGCAGCTTTACATTGAAAATTACATTATTTTAGGACAGTCAGAACATAAAATAAAGATGCGTTAAGCGCTTAAACTAACTCCGATTCCATGTAATAGATTGCTATAGGTGTTAACCGAAAGTGAAGCAAGTTTTTTAACACTTCAATAAGGTATACTATCATTTGATAAACAACGTACAAATTATTTTGTCTTTTTTAATATCACAGAGTCGAGAAATTTCGATTTCAAATTTGATTTAATACATAAATTACCATAACTCAGAAATTTTTGTCAGAATTCGTGAAACAATAACTGAATTTCTCTTTTTTTAAACTATTTTCCGAAATAATGAGTTTGAAAAGATTGGAAGAAGTTAATAATTTCTACCTCCAGATTTCAATACCAGTTATTAGTCTAGAATTATACAAAAACTTGTAGAAAAAAATAATATATATTAGTTTCTAAAACTGCTGTGGTACTTATTTCAACTGACAAAGTGAATCAATTTTTGAAACTAACTATCATTCAATTTCATTTTTTCATGCAGTTACAAATTACAGTAAAATATGAAAGCCGAATTATTCTTTTCCGTTTTAAAATCGTCACCAAAAGGAAAGTTGTACAAAATGGTATCTTTGTTCTGAAGTAAACATACTAATAGTCACTAAGTTCTTTGGTTGAGGATTTATAATACATGAGCAAAAGTTTGTTTACTTCTAACTACGAAACAAAATATCATGAAGCGATTTCAACTACTGTAGTAACTATATACAAGAAAAAATCTGTTTACAAAGTCCACAAGTAACAATTGTCACAGTGCTTACCTAGAGTTTACTTCTCGATACATTTATTCGTGAGGATTACTAGTATATATAATGATGTTTTGGGATTAGAGTGACTGAGAGAAAAATTGCAAACAACAGCTATCACAGATGAGGAGATTGAATACATAGAACTTTCGATGATATTTCAAGGTCCTGGAATATATTATATATTTAAGGGTGTGAAATCATATTTTGAGAAAAACTCAAACAAAAATACACTCATAACATTATTTAACAATGTTACATACAGCTTATTTTTATTCGTCTATTAGATAGTTTATTCATTTACAAGAACCGAACATTTGAAGAAAGCTATTTATTATCGAGGTGGAGAGATTGATTTCATAGTTGAAACCATGGTGAAAATAAGAGTGAAACCAGTTCAAATCTTTAGCAGCAATCACAACAGACCAACATACGAATAGATGGATCAATCTTAATAGTTAAAAAAAATTTTTTCAGACCTTAATTTTCAGCGATTAGGAGTATAGAATTAAATTTTAGCTATATTTACCTTTTCTAGTTTTTAATGACAGATTAGTGAACCGATGTTGAATTTCCGCTGTGACAAGGATGATGCATCAGAATCTAAAACAGAAAGATCATGGACTTGTCGAAATTGTGAAAATTATCTCAATACAGTATAGGATCATATACAAACTAACGTAGTCAAATATTACTGTATTACCGTGAATTTAAGAAAACCATGATGTCAGTATGTACAAATAAGGAAATCTATTTTTAGATTACATAGCTTAAGCTGACTCGATCAGCAATGTATTTTGTTTCTTCAATTAGAATTACTCACTGAGTGGGAAGCTTTGGCAAAACGACTCGAACTTGCGTCCATTATTCCACTTCCCACACTCAAAGGAATAGATCGGCGATCTATAATGTGAGCTGTTTTAACCATACAACCGTAGAGTGTATGTAAGCCTTGAGTTATGCTGGCAAGCAGTGCTGTTAGACACACATCATTGGCTTGACGATATAAATTGTCATTTTGTTCGGCTGCTGAAGACGAAAGCATAAAAGGTACTCGTTTAACCAAAGCATTGATTTCCCTTAGTCGTGCTCTATTCGATGGTAATTCTCCTGCTGCAACAGCTGCAACATAAGATCTTATTAGCTGAAGACGATTGCTTAACATTTGAATGGCCAAATAATTCCCAAGTAAATGTTCGGCAGTCTACAATAAAAGTACATAGAGGTGCGTTAGTAATAGATGAACAGAGGTCTAAACAGTCTTCGAAATAAACGTATGACTAAAATTTCAGTACTATATACTTCACAAACTAGGAGTAAGGCACCATACTAAAACATACAGAGATTAATCAACGCACTGACAACAAACTCTTCAAATGAATTCAATAAACGTAAGCGGCAAAATACTTTCTCACATGAGGGAAAAAAGTATTCTGTTTCTTAAAGGCACTCAAGTATAAGTGCCTTGGTGAAATTCAGAATGTTTTTTAACAAAAGCTGAAGCCTTAAGACGATTTAGAGGTTCTCATCAAGAATGCTTGCAACTATCATTCTGATAAAGTTCTTAAGACATATCGTCGATCATTTTAAAAATTATATTTATGGCATACTTTGCATGTAGCTTATTTCTGTTGGTCACTTAATCATGGACATAGTAATTGAGTTGACTATAGATATGGATAATAATTTGAATATCCTAATATATATTGACATAGTCACTCAGCTGGTGGTTTTACATTCCAGAATCTATTTGGTTGAACTCTGATAGTTTATCAAATCGACTATATGTTCACCTGGATCTTTCGGGATAAAACCGCTGCATGATACTAGATTATGGATAGAAATGAGGATCAGACAGTAGATTTGTCTTCACAAAGATTATAAGTAATCATAAAAATTATACGTACACTGGAAATACGAGGAACTATTTTTTAGTGGTGGAGAGTTAGCATCATTTCCTGTTGCCCGACTTCGGAAAAGGTTTTAATATAATAATTTTAGAGTGTGCTTTGGATTATATATGTGAATAAAGATTAGTAAGATATCGCCACATTTCGAAGAAATCGAGAAAATTTACCATAGATGAAGTTTGATCAGTAGACGACATAGATATACGAGCGACATAATCGACACCAATGCGTTCTGCTTCATCAGTCGCTAAAGTGTATAGTACCTGAAATAAGAAATATCCATTGGTGTAAGTGGTGAGCTTTCGGATATGAATTTATTATCAAAATTAAGGATGTAACATTACTAGTGATGAGGTTAAGCTTAAAAACATTTATCGATACGAGTAACTAAGTATGGTATCAAACCATATGCGATGTATTCGTAAATGTTCGATATACGTACCTCCAATCTACATGTATAAAGTACTTTTATGAGATAAAAAACAAGCTGATGCTTTAAACAGAATAGCTGGGAGATAACGAACAGTCAGTAGGAGGAGTAAAGTATGGAATGAAATATGATAATGTAACAGATAATCCATCATTGATGGGTAACTAAATCTAAATATGGATTCAGAAAGCCTTTGGGGTGTGGATAAAATCCGAGGAATTTTGTTATTTTCTACTTCCCGGCTGCGAAAGATGGTGTAGAAGATATAAATATGCGGCAAGCATTCGGTCATAGATGTTTTTGAAACATTGCTCAAGTATGGTCAGTGACGAAGTTGGATGCAATATGACCGGTTTTTTATGGTGTAGAAATTCATAGGTGTTAAAAGTGGACGTAATTTAATGGAATGTCCACACTCAGTTTTCTGTGACACTCATAACACGCCATCCATATAGTATAGAGTGGTCTAAAAGCCAAACCATTTGATTGATAAAATCACTTCATTTTAAAACGATAATTGTCTGAAAAATCTATTGTATGTTACATAAAAATGACTTGAGGCTAGACAAAAGACAATTTGAGAGGGTATAAGTATTGTTACGAACCATTATTAGAAGAATACCTCAAAAAATTAGGACAGATTAAATTAAATATATCAAATATATACAATAAAAATAACAGGTACTTGTCTAAAGTGGACTCTTCCATCGTTATCTACTACTGACTCATAAACTCGGATCGGTAGGTTCTCTCCGCATGTTTGTAGAGGGTCTAGTTTTAATATGAGAGGAGATTCATTAAGTTCCAAAATCTAAAAACATGCATCAACAAATATCGCTATACTGTACCTGTCGGTTGAATAATTCATCTTTTTCATTTATAGCACCACCAGTGGTGTACCAACCAACTATGTCCAAATCTGGATAAACTTGTTTGCATTGAGATTCACGAGTGCTGTAAAACTCAGAGTTAACTGACATATGTGGTTCATCAAGTAATAACTCAAAGGAATTCGATATCTGCCAGACGAGTAATAATATGTATTTAATAAATGCACATACCTCAACATGATGACCCTCTTGTTTCCCGAGCAAAGCTCCATATACTGTAACAGCGATAGAGTTTTCCTTCACTTTGTTACGAGTCCAATGCTCTGATATATTTAAAATAACGAGTGGATGTAGGAGCACTGATGCGGACCCTGTTCCAGAAGTCACATTGCTGATATCAACATTACTGTCCACTTCCATTTGTTGGATACCTTAATGTTTGAAATCAAGTATTTAGTTCGAATTGTAAGGGAATAGTCAGAATGAGAGTATAAAAGGAAATATGAACAAACTAATCTTTACAATTATACCAATTTAAAAATTTAAGACTTATTATTGAGGTAGCTGATCCATTTTGCATAGAAAACACTGATAGCACTGGATGGACAATGTGGTGCCAATCGAAATAAGTCTTACGTGCTTCTATCGTTTGCAGTTAGTCACATAAAAAAACAGATGGGTCTATGCAACCGAAATTCTACTCTTTCGACTTGGATAAACCTCTATAATATTTTCATTTTAAATTAGGTGCTGAAGTTTGTAAGCTTGTTTCAATAACTCGTAGTACATGACTACTCTTGGCATCGTAACCGTATTTGACCACGATGTACCCATCAGTTATAAGAGTGCTTTGACGACTAGCCCAATAGACTTGACTAAGGCTTGCAGATGGCTGAAAGAAGATATACAGTGATTACACACACCATAAATAAAACATTTTCCTCGGCGAAGATGTATTTCTCACTTTTGGATGAACAATATCAATCCTCGCATGAAACATTAGCAACCTCATTCGAAATAAAGATGAAGTAATATATAGTTTGATAAACAAACGCTTTAATCTGTTATTATAGCATCGAATGCCTTCATGAATATGCTAAACTAAGGGAACTAGACTTAAGTTACAAAACACGATTATTTCGACTTAATAAGTATATTAAAGGAGAAAAACAAGTGGATGCAACTACTGTAATGAACGTAGAAGTGACAACAATACTAAACCATCGTGACACTGACCTTGAGAGAACCTTGATAAATAGCGCGAATGTACAGAAGGCGGAAAGGATTACGCTACATTAAATGGATTTAGAACGATAGTGAATGCCACATGTAACGAGTACATCATAGTGCACTTTCTGTTCAATTAGAGGTTGGATGAGGCGATTCAAAGAATTTTTCAATGTTGTTTGCAGCTGAGCCCCGAATTACACTACCTGCAATATTTTTTGCCGTATCTGCTGTGCAACTCCAAATGCCTTAGGCTAATTTGTGCTATGCTGGATTAGTTAGTGGCAGACTGAAGAATTCGGCCGCAATGATTTTAAAGTAAGCAACAGGTTTCTAAGAATATTTAAGAAATTTATAGGAAAATATTGTTCAGATAATTTTGTGCCGCAAATATAACGAACCGAATCATCTCACAATGCAAGCGATTTATGAAGATCCTAGGATTTTTGCAGATGTTGGTCTCTAAGGATATCAGTTTATAGTAAAAATCTTCGAATGTACTGTGGAAAAAGTGCACAGCCAATTAATGACGAAATGCAGGAGGGTAGCAGGGATATTGGTAATGTATTACAGATTTCAGATATGAAATGGAAGTTATTAAGACAGTGATTATATTCGATAACTGTGTATACTAATACGCCTCTAATCAGTCTACTAATACTAGAAACGAATATTAACTCCGTCTATAACCCTTCTTTGGATACTTCCAGTCCCAAGCCCTAGTAAAGAAGGATGGTTAAACCATAAGTTAGTTACCCTATTTCTTAACAAAACCAACTCCCTGAAAGACGCTGTCAATTAAAAGGTCTTTATTTAAAAGTATTTTTACGCTTCATGATGAGAGACTAGTGCCTATGGAAGTCATGAGGCAGATCGAACTTACGTATATTGTGGGAGATCAGCTGAACCATTCAAGTTGCAGAGGAAATGATAAGATACAATCAAGTGGTACTTGGAATCAGTGGATTATATTTGATGCAGGCTGGACAATACAGATTAACTTCAGAAGGGTTGCTGCTATACGCCATTCATGAACATGAAAAAGATTCACACTCACCTGATGCTGCACAAATATGGATAACAAGAAATGATAGGTTGAGAATCTCATTGACCCGGGATCATCAAAGCACCCCTAAAAATGGAGGGGATTTAAAAGTGTCATTCAGTGTTATTTGCCTGTTAGCAAGAACAATGAAGTCGATAAACATCAGTTATATGAGGGGGTGCAGTTGATCGTCGAGAAATGCCGAGAAAATAAACGTGAAGGTTGGAATTTATAACAGTGAATATGAGGACATTATGGGGCGACATGGACTAGAAGACATGAACTGGAAGAACGGAACGAAGACGGTGAGAGATTTGCAGACCTATGTGCCTTTAACATGCTGGTCATCTTCCCACACAAATTCGTACACAAAGATTCATTGGTTCACAGGATCAGATTACACAGAACGAGATCTACCATATATGCATCAATAAGACGTTCAGAAGAAACATGGAGGCGGTGAAAACCAAGAGAGGAGCCGGTATAACTTCAGATCATCGTATGGTGGTGGCCAAGATAAGACAGAAACTAAAGAAGCACTGAAGGATGGGGTCAACAACATCACATAAGTTAAATACAGACTTTCTTCGGTACATTGGCAAATTCAACGAATTCAAGATGTCAGATTCTGCCCGCAGTACATACCGAAAGTATGGTTTATTGAAACGTAATTCAAATGCCGATCTTAACAATTGATGGAAGGTTTTTGTGGTTAGATAACAGTATTTTAGTGACTGATTGGAATTAGATATATGATCATCTTGATACAGACAAATGAACATGTTTTCGTAGGGCTGTAGCTGTTGTCAAAATTTCGATGGAGAAACTGTTCAGTCTATGGCCGTTTGGAGTAAATAATATTAAATATGACTTTTTGAAATCAAATTCACCAAAAGTTGTTCAGATTAGAAATCCTCAAATTTTGATCATCGTCAACCCTAGCGGTTTGTATGTAGTGTGATCAAATTCCCTTAGTCCAGCCTAAGTCTGGGAAGTATGGATAAAATCTTGGAGTCTTGGTGGTATTTTATTTGAACACATCTCTACCTACTGTAAATTCATTACCTGTAAATCCACCTAAAAGATACAGTAGCTAGAATTAAAAATACACGTGCCTGGAGGATGAATTTCGCTTGATATCCTCATATTTTATTAGGGAACATGAAATGTGATAAACGAATACAAGTTAAGCATCATTTGAAGCCATGCTGACTGCTACAAATCACAAAGAATTCCTCATGAGGTGAAGTGATTCCAGCAACTTGTCACCGATGGGTAGGAGACATTCTTGGGAACGGTGCAAATTTCCACAATAACCTGCACAACATTGTATTTGTTGGATTGCGAGAATTCACAAGCTTGATGTTACAAAACAAGTAGTACTCAAAATATATCACTATGCAAAGTAATGACTATTAAGAGGCCTTTCGAAAACGTTAGTAGCTTGGAAGGACTTAAACTAACACAAATAAAAGTTGCAACAATGAAAGGTGAAACACCTAAACCTCTAGCAACGCAGTTTAGTTGACGTATTACGGAATTAAGGAAAAACATTTTTTAGGACAAATAGCTAATTTTTTTATATTAAGAATAAAGAAACATGCAGTGTTATTATTTCACCACATTCCTAAATAGTGGAAAGCGATGAGGCATTTAAGTTGTCTGTTACTAATAAATAATAAACAATTTACTATCAATTAACAGTGTGTAACATGAAACACGCCAGTTTACTGGCAAGATTAGAAAGTGATCAGGCTACTCCATGTTGATCTTATTGATGACATTCCCAGATAACAATTTAATGAGCATCTGAGAAAGATAACTATGAGTCTGTTATATAAGGCGTAGGTGGAAGTATAACGTTCCACATTTGCTTCCGTTAGTATATCACAAGGGTTCTGAAAAAGAGAAAGAAAGAAAAAGGGTCAAGAATCAGAATAGAATGAGTCGTGTTGAGTCATAGCTAAAAAGAGACATTCGTGAATAAAACATCAGGGTATGGTTACTTAGGCCCTCCTTTTTATTTTCTAAATCACTTATTGAGCATTTGAGTTCATGTAGGTTGATGCAAACAAGTAAATAATAAGGTGACTATGTGAATGACTATTCGAACAGAGAAGACTTAAAAGAAGTGAATTAGTAAAATTTATGCTGGTTAACAGAATGTAGTAGAGAAAGTAAAGTGATTTGATTCAAAGTGATGCATCATTTTTTTCATCACTGTTAATTAAGAGGTCACGATTAAACTTCCGTACTACGTAACTGTCCAAGTGAGCGAGTGAAGTAAAGTGAAACCAGCCAAAATTTTAGCAATGTGGTTCAGACACAGACACACATAGACACATATAGTTTACCTGCAAAAGTAGCATCAGTGTCATTGACTAGTTCCTTCCTGCTATATTGTACGGAGCCGTAAGCAAACGAAATGTTCTGCCTCACTGACAAGGGTGGATTGGAGTTATTGCTCCACCACCATGATTGCTGGTCAGATACACCACTCTCCCTTCTTCTGTGATGTTAGTCTCTCTTGTGTTTGTGGTGTGTTTTAGTAGTGCCTCAGTCTCATTTCTATTTTTCATACCTTATCAAAACACACTAACTTTAATCGTTTCAAGAAGACCCACAGCTAAAGCTTCTGTATGGTGGGATATATATCCATGTAGCATATCACAATGCTACTAAGTTAACCAGTGGTATGAACTGTAAGATGCAGGTCGGCTGATAGGTGGTTTGGATATGGGAAGTGTAGAAAGCTGATCGAAGAATATGAAAAAAAAACAATGTTGAAAAGCAGTAATAAATAAGCTAGAAGGAAATCAAAATTACCCAAGGTAGTATGAGTTTCTTGTGATTGACGATAGTTGAGCAGCATATACGTGGGAATTATATGTTCATTATTTAGTGTCACTCGCATGAATAGCAAGAGGGTATAGTGTATTCATGTTTAGTTAAAAGTGACTGATAAAAGACTAGATATTAGTTGGACTATAAAATGTTCCTCATGTTTAGGTGAGAGTTCGAGAAATAGTTGGTAAATCTGTTCAGAGTCTAACAACACCATTAATAGTTTCTTGAACCGGGTGGTTGTGTCACAGATGCGAACTGAAATCTTCAATCTGCTCTATAGTAAACTTCACCGTGCTAGAAA